CGACTGAGGGTTCTGTATCTCAGAGCTCATACACCCCTCTAGCCTTTCTAAAATACCCTTGGGTATTTGGGTGAGATCCGGAGCTTCATCAGAAACGTACACCCTCCAACTTACTCCGTCGAGTCTTGGGGAATATGTGCCCAGTCAGATGCTAAAGTGCCTTGGCACTGACTAAATATCCACTAACCATCGTGTTTTACCAAAGAGACTCGGGTGTCTTGGTTATTTCCTGAGTGTCAAACAAAGCTAGTTTTATAAATTCCTAGTTGTTAATGTTTCTATTTGTTCTGAATTAATTAATGTTCTCACTTATAGTTTTAACTGCTGATATTATGATGTTATTGGGCCTCTTAAGTATAATCCCTTCATCATTGGATTATTTATCCAAAACTGTCCGCTAGTACTGATATTGTCTCTTCAGTATCGATACTGAACTCTAATTATTAATACCTACCTTTTGGTATCGATACTTATTGACTGGTATGGACTGATTTGGAAAGATAATATCGATACTTCTGGCTGAGTATCGGTACTCAAGTATTGGGGTATCGATATTGGCCTGAGTATCGATACCAAAATTTGGTTCGATGTTTTAAAAAATACTCAATATTGATACCCCTACTGGAAGTATCGATACTTTACCCTGGGTATCAATACTCCCTTGAGTACCAATACAAAAAATGGCTACTGAAATCTGATTTGTGTCTCGGTATCGTTACCCCCTATGGGTATCGAAACCAAACCTACAATGTTGATACTCTTTAAATAAGTATCGATATTCCCTTCTCAAACTCTCTTATTTTTACCTTGACTGAAGAAAAATATCGATATTATTCTTTTAGTACCGATACTTGTGTCTAGAAATGCCTTGTTCTGGGAACGAAAAATCCTATATTTTTACCCCAAAGGCCCTACTGAGGTTCCCAACTGTTATTTAGTATTACACATGATTAAAGTGATTATAAAAGGGCTTTTTAACATACTGAAACATCTAAAGATACAAACTATCATGGACAAGCTTCATAACTCATACAACATACCAAAACACATCTAATGATCTACATGTGGTAGATATGAGTTAAAAGTGTGTAACCTTGGATTTCTAAGCTACTAGAAACACCTCAAGGTCACCCTAGCACGAGCTTCTCATTGTTCTTACTCTTGGAGCTTTCTCCAACTTCTCTCACTAACAAAAAATCAATGCAAGTGTTACTAACTGAATTTAAAGGTTAAGAAGGGTTTAAGAACACTTCCTGAGACTAAAAATCCCAGTAAACATATCAAAATTTCAAGTTCCTTACACCCCCACAAAACCTTTTTTGAAACCATATACAAAGTTTGTGTTTGAGGGGTTAAATCGAGGCTCTATGAGTGAAGATTATGATTCTTACCTTGGAATCCTTGAACTAAGCTTGTAAAAATTAAAGCTTCAACCTATATTCTACTCTTGGAGAGGAAGAAAATGATAAGAAATGAAGGAAGAACACAAATGAGAGAATGGTGAAAAAGAGGAATGAGAAATGCTTCAGACATGATAGCATCAAACCTTAATGGTTTACAGCTTTTGAAAAATAAAAAATGGTATAATAACTTCCTTGGTCTATCAAGTTTTATTTAACTCTAAAAAATGTCTTTCCTAAGGCCAATGGGGATTAATCCAAGCCCAAACTACTTATATTTGGGTTAAGGTTTCCTACAAGCCATGGGGTTTATCCAAAGGCCAATTTGGATTAACCAGAAACTCCTAACTCGATATTCGGGGCGTTACAACTTTGGCTGATGAGAGAAGTTGCTTAAATCTCCAAAGGAAATAACAACGAGAATTTGGTTCTTGGGTTATCTTGATAACGTTTTCCCAGTAGCTAGTAGTGAGGTAACAAACACTAACTCACCTATACTACTTGTAGGTCATTTAAATGTGTTTGCTTGCTTGTATGTGATATATAAAACATATTGGTGTATTTAGGATTTTTGGCAAGAATTTGGGGTATTTGACGTTATTCATGCATAAAGGATGGACCTTTTATGATATTTCAAACCCACATAAGATTTAACAACATTTGGCAACCTTGGAAGGGTCATAGGAGTATTTGAATAGATTTCACTCATGAAAAATAGGGGTTTATAGGCTTTGAGTATCGGTACCAAAGGAAAATATCGATATTGTTTGTTTAATAGGCTTAAGATGAGATGATTTTACAAAGTAGTATCGATATTATTTTTGGAGGGTATTGATACTGTTCATAGGGTATCGATACTCGGAGGTTAGTATCGATACTTAAGAGAAATTACAAATTCTAGTATGCTCAAAAGATATCGGTACTTAATATAGTACCGATTCCTAGGGGGTAGAGTACCAATACTCGGAGGTTAGAATCGATACCATAGTGAAGCTAATATCGACACTTCATGGATGAGTATCGATACTCCAATGTTAACAAGGACTATAAGCTTTGTTTGAGTAAAGGGAACCAAGACAGAAAGTTAGAGACCCCAAGATTTTAATAATAAAAGCTTGTAAGTGAGAACATTAATTTGTGTGATAACATAAGATCTTAATGAGGTGAAATTCCATAAGACTTATGTCTTGTTTGATACTTAGGAAATGATACGGACACTCGGGTCACTTGAGTACTATGACGATCATCTAATTTATATGTTTTATGAATATCCATATGTGATCTCAGTAGTGCTAAGGCACTTGTATTAGTACAAAAGCACTTCTATGTCAATGCTAAGGCACTTCCGTACTAATGTTAAGGTACTTTAGTTATTTGAGGGCAACACCATTATTAGGTATGAAATAATTTCTCTGATTATGATAAATTCTTGGAGCACCATGTGGCTTATGACTATGCATGTTAGTATATGCATTTATGACTTCATGTAGTATCGTTGTGTTATTTGTGTGGTATTAAGCCTACAGCTAAATGTACACAATTGTTTTCGTTTGCATGTCCCTAGGTGTCCTTCGAAGGAGCTTATCGCTAGTGTGCATATTCCAGATTCGATCAAGTCCAAAGTATGTCTCAGTTATTTTAGTGACATGTATCTCATAGAACCTTTTTGTATATTGAGTTGCAACTCTTTTGACAAACTTGATGTATATGAGATGTATATTTTTGGGAGCTTCCTTTTTGTAAAACTTAAATGTTTTTGTTTAATCTATGGATGTTTTACTGTAAATACGAATAATGATTTCAAAAAAATTGTTAGCCATTAAAATCTTTAATCCAAATCTTTCTTATTTTGGGTTAGATCGGATTTGTGTGTTACATGACTCTCCATATTTGTGTCAAATTTAGATATAAAAGATAAAAAGATCTTATGCATGAAAAGTTAACTACATAATTGCTATGTCAAACCAAGACTTCATGTAACTTGAGTAATAATAATGTATTGTTAGATGTCACTCATTATTTGTAATACGAAAAATTATTCTAATATTACTCATAAAGTTACATGAATATGCAATAGTCACATTCTATGGTTGAAACAAAAATCATTAACTAAATTATATATATTTTGTAAAAAAAGAATTTGGTTAAAATTAAAATATATATTTAATGCATATAAAATTTTAATTATACCAAAATTATTATAATTATTGTAATTGGAAATTATTCGTTAAATATTGAAAGAGAATGATTATTTTAATTATATTGTGTTGTCATAATAATGATAACTTTTCTTTAACTAAATATGTTTGAAATGTTTTTGCATTAAACTGACAGGTGAGTTAAGATACCTCTTTTAACGTTGCTAATGAGATATCTCTATCATCAATTATGATTTTATTTAATATACTTTGTTCATAAACCACGATCAGAAGATACTATTGTTATACGTTAATGTTGTCCATATCAGATCGATACAATAATGATCATATAAGTATTGATCATGCTCTAATTAAATCGATAACAAATATTTTAGTTTTATTTCGACTGAAATTTTATTGATCTTAAACATTTTTGAAATGTTTGAGCTTGCGTCGGCACATATCATCTCATATTAATCGATATAAATTTTAATATTTAAACTTTTTCTTTTATTTTCATTTTATATAATTATATTTAAAATTATAATTGTTTAATTAAATTAATAAACTTATAAACTTAATTAATAATTTAAATATATGTTTTCTATAATTACTTGTGTATTTATAAATAATATGTAAATTTTATAAATAGGCTTGAACTCAATAAATCCTTATTTTATTATATTCAATAGGAAAAATATTATTTTACATAATAAAGCTAACATATTTGTTTATATTTACTGGTATTTTCTATTTTTATTAAACAAATCTTACTCTAATTAAAATAATAATTATTACAATATTTGGAAAACGTAAATTTATGTGTAATTAAACATAGACATATAATAGTTTAATTAGTTTAAAAATTGCCATTTTACTTTCTACTTAATATTGCAGTTATGGTACGAATTAAGTGACCTTAGGTCCTAAATTTGAACACTAAGAATGTCAGAGATATGAAAGTTCAATGTCACATAATTAAAAGTTATCTTTGAACAAATATGATTTTTGTACTTCATATTAATAAAAATAATAATATTATGTTTGTGAGAATCTATCTTACATGTATTTTTTAAAAAATTATTATTATTATTATTTAAAATAAAACAATTTATTTTACGTGTATTTTTATGAAGATATTTATTGACCGAGTCAAGCAGCGGCCCAACACAACTCATCCCAAAAATATAAAATCATCACTTGAAGTCATAGTTAATTAATTGGTCTATTTTTGTTTTATCTTATTTATTATATTATTTTTTATTTTTGAAAAAAGACACATGCTGGAATCACTCATATAAACTTAATCAAATGTTTTATTTTTTCTTATTATAATAATTATAATAAAATATCAACAGAGAAATATGTTTATATTTAAAATGGGGTCCAACAAAACGCGGAAAGGAGCTTTATAAATCGAGAAACATTCAATCCAAATTATAATAATTCAAGTTATGAACTAACAGTCCAAGTTTCTTCAAAACCAGAGCCTCCCCATCCCCGTGAAAATGGCATTTTCCGCCACCAAACGCCACCACCACCTCAACCTCCTCCTCCTCTTCACTCTCTTTTCACTATTCTTCTCGTCCTATGCAAGGCTAGCTCTAGTCCATTCAGACTCAAAAGCTCTTTCCGCCGTTGTTATAGACCGGGGCATCAATAGTCAACGCTTCCCTACCACTAATCCTTGCACCGCAGCTAGCGTTTTCTGTGAGCGGAGACTCGCCGATAACGAAACTTACGTTCTCAGAATCACCAGGCTCGTGTTTAAATCCAAAGGGCTCGACGGATTCTTGTCGCCTGAGATCGGGAAGCTTACCGAGCTCAAAGAGCTGACTGTTTCTCACAACAATATCGTTGGTCAAATCCCGAGCGAAATAGTTGATTGTAAAAAACTCGAAGTTCTTGATCTCAAAAACAATATGTTCGATGGTGAAATACCATCGAATTTGTCTTCTTTGATCCGTCTTCGAGTTCTCGATCTGTCGTTCAATAAGTTCACCGGCGACTTGAGTTTCTTGAAGCATTTTCCCAACCTGGAAAGTCTTTCCCTTGCAAACAATCAGTTTTCCGGGAAAATCCCACCATCGGTACGTTCATTTCGAAACCTTCGATTCTTCGACTTCTCCGATAACAGTTTCCTTGAAGGTTCAGCTCCACTGATGAGCAAAGCCGATGAAGGCTCAGTTTCGAGGTACCCGAAACGGTACATATTTGCTGAGGGAACTGATCCAAGAAGCAATAATGGCGGTCGGTCTTCAGCTCCATCACCTCATGGAAGAAACTCCGCAGCTGCTGAAGCTCCAGCTCCCGGTCCATCAACACCACCCCATCACAACCACAAAGGTCATAAGAAACTAATGGGATGGATTTTCGGATTCCTCGCCGGAGGGTCAGCCGGGGGTTTTTCCGGGTTTATCTTCTCGGTGATGTTTAAGCTGGCCATTGAAACCGTTAGAGGAAGAGGCAAAGATTCGGGTCCATCGATATTCAGTCCGTTGATAAAGAAGGCTGAGGATTTAGCATTTTTGGGGAAGGATGATGGCTTGGATTCATTGGAGATAATAGGCAGAGGAGGGTGTGGGGAAGTTTACAAAGCTGAATTGCCTGGAAGTAATGGGAAAATGATTGCTATTAAGAAGATCATTCAGCCACCAAAAGATGCAGCTGAATTGACTGATGAAGATAGCAAGCTTCTGCACAAGAAAATGCGTCAAATCCGATCAGAGATAACCACCGTCGGTCACATCCGACACCGGAATCTCCTTTCTCTGTTGGCTCATGTTTCTCGACCAGACTGTCATTTACTTATTTACGAGTTCATGAAGAATGGAAGCTTGCAAGACCTTTTGCATCAAGTTTCCGAAGGTACAAGGGAGCTCGATTGGCCTGCTCGGCAAAAGATTGCTGTCGGAATTGCAGCAGGGCTTGAATATCTGCACATGCACCATAGTCCCCGGATCATTCACAGAGATCTGAAACCGGGAAACATCCTTCTTGACGATGATATGGAAGCTAGAATAGCTGATTTCGGGCTGGCGAAAGCAATGCCTGATGCTCACACACATGTAACCACATCGAATTTGGCCGGCACAGTCGGCTACATAGCACCGGAATATCATCAAACACTCAAGTTCACAGACAAGTGCGATATCTACAGTTTCGGGGTTATACTCTGTGTTCTGGTGATGGGAAAGCTTCCGTCCGACGAGTTCTTTCAACACACCGATGAAATGAGTCTGGTGAAATGGATGAGAAACATAATGGTTTCGGAAAATCCGAGCCTAGCCATCGATAATAGACTTCTTGGAAAGGGGTATGATGAACAAATAATTCTGGTCCTCAGAATTGCTTACTTCTGCACTTTGGATGAACCAAAGGAGAGACCCAGCAGTACGGATGTTAGATGCATGTTGTCTCAGATCAAGAACTAAGCTCATCAAGGCAACAAGTTTAAGGCTATGATCATGAAAGAAGATCAAGACTGTTAAATAATTATTAGTTTATCTTTAATGTTCAATTTGCCTTTTTCTGCATACGATCCTATTATGCAGCATAATTGGAATGCTTGTAAGAAATATAGTGTGGCTTCTGAGTTGCCTATCTAACTTAAAATTTCGTTGGTAACATTTGGCATTCAAAGGCTATTTCTTTTTGCTTTTCGACCTTTCTTTATTGATCTTTTTCGGTTTGAGCCAATTTTCTGGTTTAACTTATTTTTTAACCGTCTCCAGTTGGTTGAACCGCTCGGTCCAGTCTTTTTCTTTTACTTCTGCCTTTCTTCACGAATGAGAAGAAAAGAAGTGTGATGAGATCGAAAACATGACCGATCGAGAACAAGACCAACAGGCTAGCCTTGTACACCATCAATATAGATCAAAACAATTACTTTGATTCACAGGTGTGTAACATAATGTCCAAACGCCGGAGCATGTCAACTAAGATCGAACTCGGTCGCATGAAGCCATTAAACAAACTTGGAAGGAATACTTGACACTAAAGTACTACTAGGGCAAGAAAGTCTATTCTCTACATACAAAATGAACCAACAATCCGACAATACTACTTACGAGCTGATGTAGAGATACTGCACAGATATCGATCAGTTCCAACGGATGAATAAGCAAGCTGAGCCCTGGTCAAATGATATGATACAAAAGAAGTTCAATTAACAGTCTAGTTGAAAGTTTCAACTTTCTACAATCAAAGCAGTTGCCAAGACGAGATCCCAAAATCTGGCAACTACAATCAAATAACTCCAGGTCTATGCTTTATTTTCTATTAAACAATCAATGGAACATTGAAAGGTGACAAAAGAAAATGTCAAATATCAGGCATTATTTATGCTTTCGTTCCACATGATGCATTACAATTAACCAAATGGTAAATACAAACTTGCTCAATGAATGAGAAACCTATGAAATTCTGCCATTGTCAGCTACCAGTTCACATTGTCAATTAGCAAAGCAGAAGACAACAAAAGCATGAAACAAGTCTGTATGCTTCATTTCGGAACCGTACGCAATTACTAGCAGTACTATGAGCCGACATTGTTTATCCTAACCAACTAATAAAACCGAATCATTCCACATCAAGACACAATAAGATTTGCAAAGAACATTATGGTGCAATAGGAACACATGACTTTCCTTTTCATTAACATTAAATTTTCCGAAGAAACATCGCAATAAACCATTAGCCTTATTCTTCAAATGCATCATTCGGTAGGACAAAAGCTTCAATATATTATTATGCAACGTCACCAAAAACTAACAGGCAATACCCATGGTAACTTGAAGATGCAGTAGGTTTAATTTCAATCAACTAAGCTTCAATCACAACACGCAATTCATCACATTCCAACACATATCCAGATCGATCAAATCTCGAAAAATTGAACATGTTCCACCACTCAAACCGAGTAACACCGCATTCTAGTTCTTTTCCAATCTTCTACCAAGTCCAAATCTTACCAGATAGATAAAAAAAAACAGCCTAATTAAACAATTTGCTTCATATTTTTATTTGTGCAAAAGTCATAAAAAAAAAAGCCAAGGCATTACCCTTAAAAATCAAGAAGTAATTGAGGAAGAATCCTTTCCAAGTGTGTTGGTTCGATCTTCGTGCTACCCTCAGCTTCAGCAATTGTACCAGCTCGCTGGACAGCCTCTGTGTTCAAAACAGAAATGGTGTTTGTTTATTTTAAATTTTAAACAAAGTTCACAAATAAACACGAAAATATTGACAAAAAAAAACCTGTGATAAAAACCCGAAGAAGCTCACAACTCAGCTTCAAAGCATTAGCATTAGCTGCAATCAAATAAAGTAAATAGTTTAAAATTTGATAACAAAAAGATTCAATTTTTGTTTTACCCAAGAGATTACCAGAAGTGGGTCAATTCTTCTTCGATATTCCAGCTCCAACCTAAAATTTTACGAACCCAAAAGAGAATAAAAATAAGGAAAAATAAAAGATGTTAAGAATATGGGAAATGTGGAAGAAAAAGGAAGGGTACCTCGGAATCTACAGCCTCGGTGTTTGGGACTTCGTTTCTTTCACGCTCTGGAATGGAAGAAATAAAAAACCCTTAAATACTTGAAGTGGAATGGAATGGGAATGAAGAAATAAAAACCTAAAACTTAAGAGAAAACAAAACAAAGTGATTTCAATAATCCAAGAAAAAAAAGGATATGTTTAGGGAATCTAGGGATTACTGGTTCGAAAGTGGGAGCTTCGTTGTCGTCCATGGAGCAAGTGATTCGCGTCCGCTCTTCAATTTTTCCTCCAGTCCATTTGAATCCGTTGATAGATTTAAACAAGGGTAAACTATACGTATGACCACCTAACTATAGTCCCTTTTCATTTTGACCACAATTTGTAAAATTTTATCAATTAAATCACTCAACTATTTAAAAACATTCAATTAAGTCACTATCCGTTAACGCTTAACGAATAAGGTGACGTGAAAGTTAAATATTTTGGTACAGTTACATATTTAGTCTTTATTACCTATATATTCTATTAATTTAATCTTATTTTTAATAAATTAAACTAAATTTAATCCTTTAATAGATGATGTCATGTGCAGGGTCGGTCCTGACATTTTAGGGATCCTAGGCAAAATAAAAGATAAGACCCCTATAAAAATAATTTAAGCCCCTAGTGTATAGTGGAGCATGGATATTTGCTCAAGTATTTATAATGGGCACTACTAAAGCTATCGTATATTATTAAGGACATCTCCAACGATGTGCTACAGTGAAGATATTTCCACTGTAGCGTGCTCCAGCTCTATGCCAGTTCCATCGCACTGTGCAGATTTGCTACAGTGCCGCGTCACATCTAGCGTGGTACTGTAGCTCGCGCTAGATTTTATTTTTTTAGTTAAAATATATTAAATTATAAGATAGATAAAAATATATTTAAATTAGATAAATAATCATATTTTTTTGTATCGGATTTTTTGAATTTTTTATGATTTTTTTATATTTGTAAAATTAATATTATAATAGTTAAATATTATGAATAAAGTATAATTAGTGGTAATGTACAGATAGCGCTGGAGATGAATTATTATTTCATTTATAGAGTAGAGATAGAGATGCGCTAGAGTAGGGATTAAAACTAGAGATGGCCTAAACATACCAAGTGTGGGGAATATTACTAAACATACCATGTGTGAGCCCCATTTTCGATGATTAGGAAGGGAATCAGGCCTTACTTATCTTATTGTCATCTTCTTCAACACTACACAAACACTAATTCCCTTTTATTTACCTAATTTATTTAAAAACATTAATTATCGAAATAACTTTCATTCTAATTTTTATTAAAAAAGTAAAATTTATCGGATTTTTTTTATCAGATATATTTTTGTTTATGTCACATGTTTCATTTATCGGACAAAAACTGTTTGTCTTTTTCGTCTTTGTCATATCCTTATTAACACAATAATGTTTATTTATGTCACATGTTTCATTTATCAGAAAAATTGGTTGTCTTTTTCTTCTTTGTCTTATCCTTGTTAACACAAGAATGTACAAAAAGGGGCAATTGTAGACACTCGTTTTTGTCCGGGTCAAAAAAAATATTTTAAATATTATTATTAGTATTTTTATTATTAATATTAATATTAAATTGCTTTATTAATATTACCTAACCTAAAAAAACTCATACCTATTAAATATCATCCACTAAAAATCCGCTACCCATTAAATAAAAATACACTAACTATTAAAGAAAAAAAAACTTTATTAAAAAATAAAAAAATGGTGTGTTTAATAGATTTAGATACACCTTTTTTTATAATATGCATGCATATTACTGAACCTACATTACATAAACTAACGGTATTATATTATAAAGACAAGTGAGGGCAAGTATTTATAATATGCATGACTTTAGGAATAAAAACGGTATTATATTATAAAAAAGGTATTTTTTTAGGGGCCCAAATATTTATAATATAATGTGCATATATATTACCAAAACACACTACATAAACCAACGGTATTATATTATAAGATAGTAGGGCCCCCACATATAGATTTAAAAAATCGGGTAGTTTAGTAGTGCTCAATAAAAAATAGTGTTATATTAAACTTAGGCCCCTCAAAAAATTTGAGATTTGCGATTTAGTCTAAAAAATTGAATTTTTTAATTATTAAACTTAAAAATATTTTTAAGAATGGACCGCATCTAAATGTGGGCCCTAGGCGGTCGCCCCCCTTCGCCTCCCTCAGGGTCGGCCTGGTGTGTCACGACACATGTCACTATTCGATTAAAATTCGGAAAAAAAATTAAGAACCCTACATGGGGAATTGAGGGGATTCAAACTTAGGCTAGCTGGGTGATAAAGTAGAAGCTTAACCATTGAGTCAAGTTGAGTATTAGATTTAAAATGGACAATATATAGAATATATCATTTATCTTATTGTAGACTTAACACATCCTAACATTAAAAAGCATATTTATTTATATTAAATTATTAAATAATAATTATTCTAACTTAAAAATATATTTTAGTCTTATTTTAACTTTACAATATATTTATTCTTACCTTAATATTTATATTTTATTCTTATAATATTTTAAAATTAGATAAAAATAAAATATATTTTTTAGTTAAAAAAATATAATTTTTGTAGTTAAAATAAAAATAAAATATATTTTTTAGTTAAGATAAAAAAATAAAAAAAAATTAAATTTATACTAAGAATAAAATATATATTTAAAAAATATACATTTTAAGTTAATAATTATATATTTTAAGTTAAAACAAGAATGAAATATATTTTTAATCAAAATAAGAATAAAATATATATTTGTAATTGAAGATAAGAATGAATATATTTAAATTAAAAATTAAAATATTTTTTTATTGAAGATAAATATATAGATTTTTTAAATAAAAAATAAAAAATATTTAAATAAAAATAAAAAATATTTAGTAAATTAAATATTTATACGTTAATATATAAATATATACTGCATGTTGTCAATATTATATCAAGTGGTAGTCTTAACTTGATGGTTTAGTGCATACTACCTCAGGCAGGTGTCCCATGTTTAATTCTTATTGTCTCCATTTATGCTTAGTTTATTTTTTCTCCACAGGAGAATGACACGTGACATC